GCTTGTATTTTCTCACTCCTAATTTTGCTTCATCGAAACAAAATAAAAGCAAGGATTTTCGCTTCTTCTCCTGCTGTTGCGTGGAGAAAGAGGACGTTTTAATTTCAGCCCCTCTCCTGCCTCTCCACCCCCCATCGCAGAGAAGAGGAAAGAGCCGACAGCCTAGAAAATTAAAGATCCGTTGGAAAACTTCTACTAATTTAATCACAAGCAGATCTCACTGAAGTTTACTGAAGGCAAAGGAATGTGATAAAAAAAGTTTTTTTTGAAAGAAATTTATTTTATTTAATGCAAATGCTCCAAACGCAGACTCCTGAAGTAGGATTAGATTTCCGGCTGAATTTTTGTAAAAATTTTTCGAAAATGTTTTTTTCCATGTAACTCCTTGCGGATCCTGCAGTTCCTTAATGACCCTGCGGTGGACGCTGGAAATATACAGGATCAAAAGGCCTCCATTTTGGTCTGTGGGATCGCTCCAGTAGCTGTGTTAGTACGGGAGATTTCCACATGGATTTTTCCCTGAATTTCGATGTCGGGCTCAAGCTATTTGCTGATGCCCGTTGATTTGTGGCGCTTTTAAAATATTAATTCCAGAATGCACCAAGTTTTGGTCAAATAACTCATCGAAAAAGCAAAATATAGGCATTATCGATGTGAGCGTTTCATCTCCTTGTAGAGCTCAATCAGTAACACCAGCAATGGAGGCATACCGGCCGCTTGAAGAGCGACGCACAGGTATTCGCAAACTGTCATCCGGGAAGAAGCAGCATTCCACGGATACATCTACGGATGAATTTTCGCCACATAAACAAAGGTTTTGGCTTTTGATGATTTTATGCCAGAAATAACATTTACAGTATTCCTCGTTCGTTAATTCGTCATAATTCACTGGATAAATGCTTATCGCTTACGCATTTTCAGGTATGGCAGTAGGTCGAAGTCAATATCAGTAATCGAAGTGAACAAGCGCGAGCCTGAAAAGGTAAATCATTGACAGACTTAAGTAAATAACTGATATGCACGAGTTTATTGCTGGTAAGCCTAGTGTGCAACAGATATACAGTTGTGCGAACTTTTACTGGTAGTGTATTAGTGGCACCTTTCATTTCACTCAAACAACGTCACAATCGTTAGGTGGCAGCAAATTAACTTCGGGGAATAAAATTCTGTTTGAGAAAGAGAAAATACTTTAACAACCGTTTGTCGGAGAGAAATGAATTTATCCAGAAAAGCTCAAAAATTACTTTGGAGGTGTCAAAATTTTATTTTCGCTCCATTCGCAAAACCTACATTTACCTCACGCTTAAAAGCCAGAGGCTTTGCTACATCAATCGAAGCAGCAGTTCCAAATTGCGCTAGAAAACGGATGAAATTGTTGTCCAAAACGGCTAAATTGTGTAATTAATCAAAAATATGCTTCATATCATATAGCTATGTTTGTCCTGGATAGCCATCAAATGAATTTCTTCCTGCTTTAAAAAATGCATCGCACCCGTAAACCAAAGCTTTGAAATACTGTTTTGCAGAATAACGAAATTAGTGAACGAATGGAAAGAGTTGTTTATTGGCCTCCGCTTCCTAAAAAGCAAGAAAGAGAAAGAGCTCGATCTGTTCCACCGTCAGTGAAGGCGAGAAGCATCACAGACCCGGAACGACTGGATGAGTATCGCCGACAAAAGGAACTTGAACTGGAAGCTATGCGGCGTCATGAAGAGGAAGCGATGCTGTATAGAAAAAAACAGGTTGACGTTTCGTGAAACAACTTTGGCATATACTAGTTTCAAGCGTAAATTCTGGCAAAGGAAATCGTCGTGACCAAAGCGCCATCTTTTTGTCATCTTTTGGTCACTGCATGCTAACTTTTATGGATCCATTTTTCCCACACTTCTAGGAGGCATTTTTTCGCTGCACTAGAAGATTTAGAATTTTTAGCGGTTTTTACGCTTAAGTGAAAAATTATCATTCGCATTTTGACGAATGCGTGAATGGGTAGATCAGCTTCAAGAAACAAAGTGCCACTGCGTTCAGCATGCTGGAAATCCGTCGGTGCTTAATTGCTCAGTCAGACTTGGATTTTGTGATTCATTTTAAGGCCCGTGCTTTGGAAATGCAAGAACGTTTGTATTATGAGAAATTGGGTTTGAGGCGCGATGCCGACAGTCCAGAATCAGGCGAGGCGTTGACGCAATCACGTGAAGAATTACGAGAAATTGACCGAAATGCACAACGTAAACAGCAACTGGAGGTTTGCTTAATATCGATAAATGTTTTTACGTTTGCAACAGTATTTCTTTCCTGCGTTTTTGTTTCAAATTACTTAAAGTGAGGATTAGCTTACAAAAGTGCCTTTCGTTCTCGTTTACAAATTAGTAACGGGGACTAAAATATTGCTGCGAAATTTCTGTTTTCAATGAATATCGTAACAGAGCGGCTTGAACCTCTCGATATCACCTACAGCTGTCGGTCACCACTGAGGCTTGATCTCGTGGTAAGTGCTCCGGGAAACTGGTAGGATATCGTCCAATATTTTGAATGTGTATGAAACATAGCGAAGAACGGACCACATTGTAATTAGAAAGGATGGTTGAACGCACAGGCAGATCCAAGGAGGGGAGGAGGGGGGCAATGAGCCTACTGTCCTCCTCCCTCCCCCGCCCTCTGTCCCTTACCCCGTGGCACAGGTACAAGTGCCACAAAAGTCAGGGTCTAAAGCTAAAAATGAAGAAAACTCTTTCTCGCATCCCCTCCCCCAGGTGCCTCACCTTCCTGGGTAGTCTTCGATAGAATCCCCACTCGTCGCTCCCCCTCCTTCTTCCTCTCCCAGGAGCTCATCCTGAATCCGCCTGTAGTTGAACCATTTCACTCGGCACTGGTGAAAGACAGAGAAACACTGATGGGATCTACAACAAATTTCTCACAAAAGTGCACTGTAAAATTCATCAGCATAGAAAAAGCTGACTACATATTTTTGCAGGAGAGCCCACAGCCTCAATTTATGCGTGTTTACGAGACACGTCCAATTACGGCAATGTCCGAGTCGGGCGATCCACGTGAGGTTGTCTTCTCACCAAATTCGGCCACCTGGAAACGTGTTTACATCGTTGATCGGCCAAAACCAGTAGCGAAAAATGAAATTATCACTAGCGAG